GAAATTGGAAATATGGAAACTGGTCCTGTTTTTTGCAAAGGCTCAACTCTCAACTTCTTTTTCCATTTACTTAAGAGGCATTTGCTTTTTCATCTATACAGTTGGTTACCACTCATGCTGAGCCTCCGCTCTGGTTCTACACTGCAGGTGGTGAAGGCATTTATTGTCCTGACCCCGGAATACCTCTCCCATGACCGGGACCAGCTCACCCAGGAGCTGCAGCAGCATGTGAAGTCAGTGACAGCCCCATATAAGTACCCGAGGAAGGTGAGTGAGGGCCCATGGATGGGATGGAGTCCCCGCCATGGTTCCTGGGCTCTGCTGCCCCAAATCCCCTCGTGTGGCCTGGGTGAAGCTGATGTACCAACAGAATGAACATATCCTGATGCAGAAGCAGCAGTTCATCTTAGGGATATGGGGGAACCAACTTAGTCAGATGGAACCTTTATCCTGTGTCAAAAACATGGCTGTCAGTTCTACGTAAAGAAAAAACATGAGACAAGTGCCCAGAGATGAAGATTCTTTGTAATCTTTCAAAATTTGAAAAAGAAATTCAGATCAACACCCTCCACACATTTTAGAAACATTATTCCTAGTAAGAAATACGTTGAAAATTGCAAACCAATACATGTACGGATACATAACAAATAGGGTTAACAGAGTAATATTTATTCTAGCAAGCAATACATTCTACTTCATTTGTTTTCAAGGCCTTGTGGAACCTATGGAAATGTTCAGGAACAGAGAAATGATTACATTATTTTTGATATTTAATGTTGTCCTATAATTTAAAAAGACAATGCAGATGTTTTACTTGCAACATCAAAATATCACAATATCTCATTAAGAGACAAAAGCAGGCCATAAATGAATATACATAATATCCTATTTGTTGAAAAACTCTTTTTGGAAGGATACATATGCTATAAATTTAACATTTTCTTCTTTTGTAAGAATACATTGCTGCATTTTCTGAATGTTTACAATCAGGACATAGAGTTATACAGCTAATATTTTTTGAGCATTCACTATGGGTCACAGACCCTGTACTCAAAGATTTACATTTTTTTGTTATTTCCTGTAATCCTCTTAAAACCTGAGATGGTGTAACCATCCATTTTTGGAGTAGAAATGGAGGCTCAGAGACTCCCAGTAAATTGCCTGAGCTTGGAGTTCATCAAAGGATGGAGCTGGAAGTGAAATCCATGCGTATCTGACACGAGATCATGCTTCGAATGTTAGGCTGTGCTGCCTCAGAGAGAGGAAAACAGAGGATGCATACCAGTTAGGGTGGACTAGATGTTATTGTGGGTAACAGATAGCCCCCAAATCTTAGGGCCTTAAAATAAGGGAAGTATCTTCCTTGCTCATGCCATGTGTCCTCCATGGTCCTCCTGGGAGCGGGATAAAAGAGCACCACCAGTAACTACCAGGTGCTATAAGCGATGGACAGAGAGGTGATCAGACTCAGTTGTTCCCAAGTGTTGTGTTCGAGGTGGCACACTTCACTCCCACTCCCATTTCACTGGTCAGAACATGTCACAGGGCTGCGACCAGCTTCCCAGGTCAGAGGACAATCTGACGTGCTTGGTGGAGCCTAGTGAGGCCACCAGGTGGTGTCAGCTGTCTGGAGGACTGCGCAGGGACAAAGGAGGGATGTGGGGCATTGTTAGGAAATGACAGCAGGGCTAAGTCAGGACATGTTTCCTTCATCCTCAACCAGGTGGAATTTGTCTCAGAGCTGCCCAAAACCATCACTGGCAAGATTAAGAGAAGTGAACTTCGGAAAAAGGAGTTTGGTCATATATAATCAGCAAAACACTCAGAAACCACTGTGTGATCTTGCTCTAATCCCAGGCTGCCTCAGTTTCCCCACTGTGAGCAGGGGAATATAGAGCATTGTTTTGTCAGAGCATCAGGAGTGTCCACATTCTAGGTTTCTGGTTCTTTTCAGTTAGCATCAGCTATTGCCCTCCCTTCACATCCTTGGGTCATTTCTCTGATTGTGGCCTGGTTAATAAAACACTTACTTCAGCATCCATGGTGACCTTGTGTTGTGCTTTTCTTCTATTAATGAACTGGCACTAAAAGCTATCCCTCCATAATTCTCCCAAGTCCCATCAGAGAAGGCTCTGGGCCAGATTCTTCCCCCTGGATCCAAGCACCCTGGCTGACTCCTTATGCCCGTTCCACAGCTAGGACACAGAGGTCAGGGGGGACACTCCTGGGGCCCCAGGTGACCACCTCTGCCTGGCTTGCCCATGCCCTGCTGGAGGGTGAGGCCTGGGTCAGATCTATTGAGGTGGCTGGGGAAGGGGTCAGGGGCTGAGGGCAGCCCAGAGTGGTGATTCCACTTGCTTGCACGACCATGGCTCACTGCTCCATCCACCATCCCATGGATCTGCTGCGTCTGCTGCCTCTGACTGCTGCTGCTGCCCCAGGCCCCCAACCTGCACCAGCACAGGTGAGTGAGGGATCTGCCCTTTGGGGACCCGTGAGTCCCTCAGGACTCCTCCAGCTCTTTCCTGAGGTGCTCAATCCCGCATTCCTTCCAGGGTGCCCAGGAGCTCTGTTCCTCAGCCCTCTCAAGGGGCCCCCACTCATCACCCCTCCCAGGGCCCAGGAATCCCTCGGCCTCGCCAGGGGCCCAGAGCCCTCCCCACACGTTATCACCTCCTTCTGCCATCTGCAGTCCTGCCAGCTGCTGGCCTGTGGTCCTGTGAGCTGCCCCTTCCTTGGGGACCGAGGTGGCACCACAAGGTAGGACACTGGAGGTCGGGTGAAAAATGGGTAGAGGGAGCTGAGCCTCAAGGTGGGGGAAGCACATAGTGTCCCTGCTCACCCACCCCAGGAGTCACCCTCGAAGGGCCCCCTTTGCAGCTGCTTACTTCTGAGGTGCACAGACACACACGGGCAGAGAAGGAAATGGGCACCACAACCACAGGGACACACAGGCATGGAGCCACCCACAGGTTCATCTGGGGACTCAGGTATGGGGCTCATGGACAGGCTCACACAGAGACCCACACAGCAGACATAGACACCCTGAGGGGAACACACTCACACACACACACACACACACACACACACACACACACAAAGATATACACACTCAGGGTCACATGAAACAGCCCCATGAAGCAAGCCCTACATACACTGGACTCATACACACACACACACACAGAAAAGACACACACACATACACAGGTATGATCAGGAACATAAAAGGGGCAGCAAATTCACACACACACACAACCAATACACACAGACACGAAACAGATATATCCAGTCACTCCCTCAGGGATAACAACATAATATAGCCACAGACAAAGATTTACACAAAAAAGATACACTCATTCAGAGACACAGACACAGGCACACATGTACACACAAAAACATGGAGAAAGACACATGGTTAGTCAAATGCAGAAAATTCATCTCTACAATAAATATACCCACAGACACAGAACTCTCACAGGTGCATATTGCATATTACACACACACACACAGACACACAACACACACTCCAGGACAGCTTTGAGTCTCCAGTGGCGGCCACGACTAGAAGAAGGGGTGCACAGGCCCTGGCATGACCTGCCCATCTAGGTTGTTATGGAAGGGGGTGTTTTCATGGATCCAACCCACTGCTGGGCATCTGCCCCATGTCAGTGCTTTATGGAGGGTTGTGCCCAGGCCTGGATTCCAGAGAGTGCCAGGGTAGGGTGGCCATAGTGACAGGGGCACAGGGTATGGACAGAGAACACTTAGGTGGGAGTGTTGCATGGGGCCAGGTCAAGAGAGGGAGACAGGGGAGTCTACCCAGGACCCTTGGGGTGTGTAGAGTGGATAGTACCCTCTCCCACAACAATAGCACTAATGATCTCATGAGGACTAGTATATGACAGCATTATTGTCACCACAGAGATGAAGAATGACCATAAGCCTCAGGTGGAGGATCCAGGGTGTGACCTTGCCACCTGGTTAGGCCTCATCTTCTGTATGGACTGACCTGGAGCAAAGCTGGCCTGTGGGGTTAAGCATGTCTGTGGCCCTTGCTCCCTCTGGTGTCTCCAGGTCCCAAATTCCCCCTTTCCCATATCTCCTCCCAGACCCAAGTCACCAGTGAGACTTTTCTCAGCCTGGGTCCAGCATTCCACGTGAGGGCTCTAAACCTCATTCCCCATCTCTGTAAGGAGTTAGAGATGGTACTGACCTTTGAGTCCCGAGAGATGACTGCAAAGGAAAAGGCTTAGTTATCACAGGCCTGACTGGAGGGAAGTGAGTTTTTCAATTTGTTGCCTTTAACAGCTGTGCAACTTTTTTTTATAAATGTTTTTTATTTATTTTTAAGAGACATAGAGAGTGCGTGAGCAGGAGAGGGGGATCAGAGCGAGTGAGAGATACCGAATCTGAAGACAGGCTCCAGGCTCTGAGCTAGCGTCAGCGTAGAGCCCGACGCAGGGCTCGAACCCACGAACCGTTAGATCATGGCCTGAGCCAAAGTTGGACGCTTAACTGACTGAGCCACCCATGCGCCCCAGCTGTTCAACTTTTAAGGCACCAGACTGGGAAGACACATGACCCATGTGGGTGATGACGCTGATTTCCGCTAGTGCTCAGCATGTGACTTCCTCTTGTCCTGAGCACAGTTCTGTACACAGGCATGGGCACGCCCACATTACTGAAGGAAACCAGCCCAGGGTCATACAGGTGGTCAGCGGCACAGCTGGATCTCTAGGCTCCTGTCCCTGCCCCCAGGGGCCACGAAGGGCTCCCCAGATGGGAGGTTGACATTGACTTTGGGGACACTTCTTCACCTCTATGAACCATCTCACTTGTTCAAGGCCCCCCAAACTCTGTTCACTGCTTCTTCTTTCCCTGGTCCCTGCTGCAGTTATAACCGGAGTGACCCTAGCCACCTTTTATGGAATTCCCTAGACCCCATTAGAATCAGGGCCATTCTCCCATTCACTTTTGGGCCAGTCTGACTCCATCCTTTCTGTATCTGGTCTCTCCTTGTATAACCAGGACAGCACAAACATGGGGCTCTTTAGGCAGGCAGCAGCATCTAAAGGGAATGTAACACTATTGGCTTTTCACTCCTGTTTTGGTTTGGTTTTGCTTGTTTTTTTATAGTTTCTTGTATTTAGGTTGGAGGGCTTGCTTTGCTATTTTAGCAGTGCCGGAATGGTTCCCCCTGTTACAATCAATTTACATACAAATAAAAATGAGGGGATCCAGAGCAATGATCTTCAGCTGCCTTGGGCCTGAAGGAGTTGGGGAAACATAGTGCCAATCATGTAGAGAAATTATTTAGGAAGCTCAGCTCAGGCCAGAGTCCAGGAGAGGAGATCAAAGTGGGTTTGTCTAGTCACCTGGGTCGATGACCCCTGCCCACCTCCTTGGCCCTCCCCACCCAGCGCACCTGGCATTGCCAATAAACTGGGTTGTCCCTGGTCCCCCAGGGGAGAAGCGGATGAAGTATTTCTCTTAAAGTGCTCTCATTCCTGGAGATCCCATGTGAGTTAGCTGGATTTTCCCCCGTAAGGGTCCTAATGCACAGCCCATGCAAATAGGTAGGAGGGTCGCACAGATAAGTGGCAGAACTACCATGTTTGTGGTGTTAAAATGTCTACATCAATTAGGGATGGTCTAGGGAACAGATAGTCTTCTCACACCAATATTCTAAGATATTTCAGGCAAGGAGACATTTTTTATTACAGTTTTATCATATTCAATCATTGAGCTCAAATATAGCTCTTTTTCTTTCTTCTTCTTGACTTGTATTCTACTCAGTGAGGAACTTCTCAATTTCTAAACATATGGGAATTTCTGTTACCTTTTTATCAGTGATTTCTAGCACATTCTATTACCAAAACATGCTCTGTGTGATTTCATTCCTCTGAAATCATTTCCTTCCTTTGAAATTTCCCTTATGACCCCAATAAATGGGTGAATTTTTATAACTGTATCCTGTGTGCCTGAAGTTAATATACATGTCCTCTACAGTGTTATGTACATGTGGACACATATATGGATATAGCTGTGGGATTCACATGGTTTGCGTTTAAGATCTGGATGTTCTATCTGCTTTGACTTACTGAGAGAGGGTTACACCTTCTTCTCTGCTTGGGTATTTCATTGTTCTTGCAGTTCTGCCCTCCTCTGTCTTCTCTGTTGTTCAGCTATTGCCCATGGGAACAGGAGTTCAGAATGGAAGGAGAGAGCACCCAGAAGCGATGACAGAGAGCTGGGTTGGAATGGCCCAGAAACCAGAAGGTCTCTCAAGTTTCCAGGGAGGAACTGCTGTTGCAATGAGATGAGGTGGTGCACCAGGCAGGAAGAGGCTCTTTAAAAATGAGGTCATGTGAGGTGTCCATATTGCTCTACCAGGGGTGAAGGTGGGTGATCGGTTGAGAGAGACCATAAAGGTTCCAGGCTGTTGAGGAAACGCTCAGACTGTTGAAGACTTGAAGGTAGATGGATTGTCCTCTGCTCCACCTTCTACTTTGTCCAGCTCACCTAGTGGTTGATTGAATTGCTGACCAACTAACCTGACTGACCCTCACCCCCCTTTTCCCCTCTAGTACTTGATCGGATCCTGGGACTGTTCCTGACTCCCTTCTTCTCCTGTTGCACCCCCTCCCCAATCCCATCCCTATTTAAACCCCACCCCCATCCATAACTAACACCTCCACTTTCCCACCTCCTCCCCACCCCTCTCATCCCTTCTTTGTCTCCAGGTAAGTCCCTGGCACCCTAGTGCTCCCTGAAAGGACCAGAACATGGAGGTGCAGAGGCTACTTTTCTGGTTCCTCATGCTTCGGTATCTCAGTTACCTAAACACAAATGTGAGTAAACATGGGACATTGGTTGACTCTTCCTTCTTACCGTGTTCTTTCACACTGTGGTTAAACAACAGCTTTTCCATGGGGGTTTTGTTGGGAACTTCAGAAGAACGTCATTTCTTCCTGAAGACCGAGGACCACAGGGAAAGTTTCTCTACCAGCCTGAAGTGGTTGTGG